GCTCAGGCCTCGCCGCTTGAGCGGGGGGGTGGGGAAGGAGATTGGCAAGGCCACTCAGGCGTCGCTGCTGGAGCCTGAGGGAGGGGGGTGAAGGAGCCTGGGGGAGGGAGGGTGGCTGGCAGCCACTCAGGCCACGCCGCTGGTGTCCGGGGGGGGGGAGGCTTACCTGCTGCTGCTGCTTCCTCCTCCTCCTGCTCTGTGTGGAGGTCTTCTCCCCCCCCATGAGTATCGCGGGTCCCCTTTCTTGTCTATATATCTAATAGCCAAGGTCCCCTCTGTGTGTGGATATCTAAATCCGCACTTCTGGGGCACCTATGGGGCAAAGAGATTTTCCTGCACACTTGGGACACTCCCCAGGTGTGCATAAAAATCTGAAATGTAGAAAAAACTACAGGGGGGGATACTTTTAAATCCCCCCAAAGTAAAAGAGCATTCCCTGTGCATGTGCAGAGAATGCTCTGGGTACTGTGCCTCCCTGCTGTTGTGGGGAGGGGGGCTGGAGAGAAGGCTTGGCGGCTGGCAGCCATTCAGGCCTCACTGTTGGTGCCGGGGGGTGGGGGAGAAGGCTTGGCAGGCCCCGGGCCTCGCGGTCGGTGCCAGGGGGTGGTGGAGAGAAGGCTTGACGAGTCCGGTGGCTGGGAGCTGCGCGGGACTCACTCGGTGCTGGGGGGGGGCAGGAGAGAAGGCTTGGCGAGCTGCGCGGACCTTGCCATCGGTGCTGGGATGGGTGGGAGAAGGCTTGTTGGGCCCTGCTATTGGTGCCGGGGGTGTGGGGGAGAAGGCTTGGCAGGCCCTGGGCCTCGTGGTCGGTGCCAGGGGGGTGGAGAGAAGGCTTGGCAAGCTTGGTGGCTGGGAGCTGCTCGGGCCTCGCCGTCGGTGCTGGGATGGGTGGGGGAGAAGGCTCACCTGCGGCTGCTTCCTCCTCTTCCATGTAGAGTTCCTCCCCCTGCGAGTATTGCGGGTCCCTGTTTCTTGTTCGATAATTTTTTAGATAATCAAAATTTTTGCACAATCATGAATGCTCTCCTTGTGATTTTGTGGAGTTTTTTATCAGTATGATTGGCAGGGCCCCGCATTGCTATTGGATACATAATGTTAGATGTGAACACAGAGACCTTGCATATTTATTTGTTTCTTCATTTACTTCATTTATACTTCACCTTTCTCCCTACGGGGACCCCAATTTCTCCTCTCTCCCATTTTATCTTTCCAGTAACAATCCTGTGAGCTAGGTTAGGATGAATGTATGTGATTGGCTCAAGGTCACCCAGTAGACAGAGTGGACATAGTGTTGATTTTCTTCCCATCTCCTTGCCCATCTATGAGCATCTTCTTGAGGAAGGGAATAAAGATGCAGCCAGGCACAAATACTGAGGAGTCCCCAGATCACCCGTGAAAACCCAGTCCTGAACCTGTTTGTGCAAGGGGGGGGGCATGTGTCTCTCTTGGGTAGAATCCGGAGGAAATCTGTGTTGTTGGTACCAAACGTGTGGGAAAGGCTGCCTTGCATCAGCCACCTGGAATGCCTTGGTGGGATGCAAATGTTTGTTAAGTTCTGAGAATCGTTGGCAACACCCAAGGCCAGAGACTTGTATCAAAGCGGCTGGCAAATTGCAGGAAGAAGGGCTTGCTACTTTGCTGCAATTTGGGGGTGGGGGGTTATCTGTTGACCAGAAAGGCATGGGAGCAGAGGAATCCTTTTTTCCAAAATGAAAATGCTTATGAAAAGAAAACACCCAGTGGGCAGTGGGTCTGGTGGATGCCTAAACCCAGCCATCAAAGGTCTCTTAAGCAAACAACACTAATGTAATTGACTTCAGTGTGCATTCCTTTCGGGAAGGGAGAGGTTTTTGCTAACTAGATTTAGAGGGTAGCATCTGAAAACCAGATCTCTGACAGGCATTGTTTTGAACAATCTGGGGTAATGCTCTTTTTGTTTTGTAATTTCTTACAGATGGTCACAAGAACAAAGAAAATATTTGTAGGTGGACTATCTGCTAATACGGTAGTGGAAGATGTAAAGCAATACTTTGAGCAGTTTGGCAAGGTGAGTTCCAGCATGGGTCAGTGTGACACATTCTGCGTTATTTATGGCTTTTTAGGCATCCCCCCCAAAGACACCAGTGCAGCAGCAGCAGGCACAAGGCTGCCATTCCGGATTGAGCTCCCCACTGTCTGTGATCTTTAGGCGTTTGTCTCCCCTTCTGTGTAGCAAGAGGTGATGATGGGTAATTCTGTATAACTGGTTCCTGAATCAACCAATCAAAACAGCATCATGCTCCTAGCAAAGAGATGACAACGCTCATTGGTATCATAAGGGCTTGTGGTTTAGCAATACAGGGATATCGTGTCTGGCACACTGGTGCACTCCTGGCATGTCTGGTAGAAGAGGTGGGGGATAACATTAATAGTTGTAAGGTAAGTGAAGCCGAAAGTAATAATAATAAGTGTGTGGGAGAGAGACTGGATTGTGCATTCCGAGATGTGAGTTGTGGGATTTAGCAGTCTGTGTATGCTCAGCACTTAGGGCACTTTCACACACACTGAATATGCACTTTCATTCCATTTTCAATGCACTTCAGCATTTGTTTGCAAGTGAACTTTGCCATTTCACACAGTATTGTCCAGTTGCAAAGTGTGTGTGAAAGCACCACTGAGGGTCTCTGAAATGTAGCTGTCATGGCAAGCACATTAGAGAAGACCATGATGGGATCCCCAACTAAGGCAGGGGGAAAGGAGGACCAGAATACAAACACTATAGTTCAATGGTAGAACAGTTTGCATGCTGAAAGTCCTGAACTGAATACTTGGTGTCACCAGCTGAAGAATCTCAGGTAGGATGACTGGCCTCAACCTTGCTGTGCCTGAGGAGCTGTTGCCTGTCAGAGTAGACAGCACTGAACTAGATGGACCATTGCTTGGCAAAAGGCAGGTTCATCTGATAGCTTGAACATGGGCCCATGATTTAAGGAAGGGTTACACAAAGGCCTATTATGCATGGGTGTTTTCCCTCGGTTTCACTGTACATGACTGTTGCGTTTTCTTTGTCATTCTGCATTAATTTTCCTCCCTTCAGTACTCCGCTTTCTGGTCACTGTTTCTCTGGGTTTTCTAGGGGTGCTTTTGTGCCGATTTCCCCCTTGTTTCTCTTCCAAGCCGAAGGTAATTCAAAAGTATACAGATTCCCTCAGAATGTCCCCCTTCCCTTTTGCCTCCCCTCGAAAGTCACTCCCCGCCACATCGAGGTCATTCTGTCCACCCTGCATCTTCCACCACCTTCCCCCCTTCATTGGTGTACAAGCTCCATTTTCCCTTGTTTTAAAATTTTAATTTTTTTTGGACAAGTGGCATGAGTCTAGCGATATGAGACTATCACTAGTCTCACATTGCTGAATTAAAAAAACAACAACAGTGGGGGGAGGGAGGTTTGAAAGGAGCTGCACAAGGTTTACTTCCCTGCTGGTATTGATTTGGAAGGGGGATTGGAGAGGAGGCAAACAGCAGTGTCCCCAGTGCCAAAAAAATAATAATAAAAAAAATCAGTGCTGCATGCAAACAAAATAAGGATGGTAGTGGTCAGTGTGGAATGAAATTGACACTGGAATGGAAAGCCTAAAGCTTTGAAAACATTTCCCCCATTAATGCTTTAGAGAACAAAGTTTGGGGGGGGGGGTAGCATTTTGTCAGTCTCTGGAAGCCTAACATTAAAATGGCATCTAAGCCACATGAGCCTTCTGTGAACCACCAAACAAGAATTGCTTGGGATCGATCCATTTGGAGGAAGAGTGTAATACACACAGGACAGGCTTTAAAAAGGCCAAGATCACGACCAGTGTGCAGGATCAAATTAGGCAATGACAAAGAGAAAACCACAGAAATTTGCAAAGAAGGGCAGGAAACTGGCATTACTATGCAACTGCGCTAGGGCATCGGTAAAAATACCCCTCCCCGATTTTTTTTTTAATTTAGTGGCACAAGACTAAAGAAGCTCTCCAGAGCTTCTGTCAGAGGACTCCTCCCCCATACAAATTGCAGCCCTGTGCAAAGTGTGGTGGAGTTGCAGACGACTTTGCAGAGGCACACGTATGCACACACACACACTTGTTGCAAGTGATCACAGCTTGCATTGCCAGTGTCAGTGGGTTCTACCATACATTCTGTACACTTAGTGTATTCTCCCATCCTATGAGATCGTGTGACTCCAATTTTTCACAGTGGCTGATAACACAGCAGAGAATCCCCTAGAGCCCAGCAGTATGGAAAGTGTCTTCACAGCTGCTTGTCAGTTTCAAAAAAAAAAGTCTGGTCAGTTTCAACAGTGGGTTTCCCCCTTTGCCTGCTTTCCTTTCTGTCCCCTTTCATTCAAAGAACTAACGCTAAAATGCATGCGCAAAACCTGAACCATGAGGATTTAAATGGAAGGCACTTGCTGGATGCTACTGTGCAGCTGCGGTAGGTCAATTGTGTAATTTTAAAAAGAACTTTGGATGCCACCCACCATATGTCACAAGTGATGGTCCACCTCTATTTAGAAAAGTGTTGTTTTTTTAATTGTAGCTGCTGAATAAATACACTGGAGGAAAAAGAATGGTGTGTAAGGTGGGCACAGAATCCAAAATCAAGATTAAAGGCTTACTGCAGTAAGATGTGCATGCATAATGGGCCAAAGTTTTTGCAATGCAGCAAGTTTGGTTTCTTCTTCCATGGACTTTAGGGGTGCATCATAAGAGCTACATGCAAAGTGTGCAACAACTTTTGAGCGGCATGCCATGTTACAAAAGTGGAGCCGCCTCCTGTGTCGAGTTCTTCCCCCTTGCCGTCTGTAATGTGCAGACAATCTGACCCTGAGTCCTGAATCATCATCTTATACATTTCCTGCCCACATCTGTGAAAGCTAATGATGGCTATTGGCTGTAGGGAAGCGCTGATATTGGGAAGGATTTTTAAAAATTGGTTTTACTAGTATGTTTTTTTTACTAAGGCAGAAGAACTCGATGCAGGGCTGTTGGTGTTTCTTGCAACATATTCTTCTGCCTCACGTGTGTCCCATGCAGTGTTGGTTCCCCTCCAGACCCAGGCAGCCAAAGAGAGGGTCACAGCTGGCCTGCTGCAGCCTTTGGGCTCTCCATCCCTTTCCTGAGCCAGTCCAGCTTCCTTCACTGGCCTGCTGTGTCCACAGCTTGCAGTTGCAACATTACTCTTTCTTCCGTTCTAAAAGGACGTGCTTGCAGTCGAGTTTCTTTTGGTCGCTTTTGTTTCAAATGAATTTCCCCCCCTTTGTGATGATAAACGACAATACTTATCTCTGTATAGGCCACATCTTAGAAACCCATCATTTTGCTGACCTCAACAGATAATCTGATCTTCAGAGAAATAAAACATTTCTCAGGTTCTGCTGATATTATTCAAGCAGACCTCCCAGCTACTGATAAGTCCATATAGCTTACGCTGTTCCTTGCTCTCTGTTTTGTGCACAATAGCTGGGGATAGAAATATACAAAAGCATCTCCAGCACTCATCGATCTTTGACATCTTGTATTTTGAGAAAAGGGGTCAGGCCTGTCTCCAGGGCATTGTTGTTTCAATCTGAGAGGACCTTATCCCACGGCACAGTCCATGTGGTGGCCTTTTATGAGAACCAACCAGATGGCCTATCACAGTGTGCAAGTTTTCAGGATCTCCAGAATTCTTCTTCAGGCTGGATGCTACACAACAACCTCTCCATCTCAAGGCACAGTGAGAGAGCTGCTTCAGATGGCAAAGTTTCGGTGCTCGTGATAATGGCAAAGGGGGGGCATAAGTCAGTCTTAGCCATAAGGTGTAATCTGTCAGGAAGCTGTCCTAACAAGGAGCTATCTATGCGTCTCTGTAAGAAAGTCAGGCTATAAATAGGGTGCCATTGGGATCTTCCACTTACGATGCTGATCTGCCTGGAGTGCCAGGTCTGGATTCATTGTTGTCTGGGCCAGGAGGTGGGGATTGTGGTTGTTTTTACTGTCCCGAGTGTTTTTCACGGTGAACTAGATTGTGTGCAGGTTACACTGGAAGGACCCCAGCCAGAAGACGTCCAGTCTGTGCCGCTCTCAGCCATTTCCGTGGAGTCTGACATTGGTGGCATCCTGTGTTTTGTAGGATAGCATTTGAAAGCCTTGTTTGGATGCACCTTCCTTTGTGGTGGAGGAAGCCTCTAAATAATCACTGTGCCAAACGGAGAGCTGTTTTGCAAAGGCGTTCATTTGATTTTTCAATGATAATCTTTGATTCCAGCAGCATGATGTTTATGGCCTGCTGAGTCCTTTATTAAAGGATTATGGCCGCGTTTGAATGTTTCTTCCTTAGTTATTGTCAAATCTGCCAAACTCCTCCATCTAGTTTTGAAGTTAATAACAGTTTTGCCGCATGCATGTTTCCATGTTGCTTGCGTTCACCCTTGAGGAGTCGTTTTTGTTTTGCCATCTGGTGGCTTCATGCTGAGTCTGAAAATATAGGCAAGCAGGCTGAGATCATCCAAGCGATTTAGTGGGGCTTTGGTGCCTCTCTGGATTTTGTTTCCTTAAAGGGGGTCATTTCTTCAAGGCCTCTTTTCTTGCAAATCTTACCCTCCCTAATTTTTTTTTAAATTCTTTTTATTGTGGCTGTAAAACGGAGTGCATCCCATCACTATACCTCAGTTTTCAGTGCCATGAAAACTGGCTGTTGCTTGCTGTTTTTGCAGGTTTTCTGCTACAAGGAGCTGGTACCAGGACCTTTCCTTTAGGATAGGATAGTGCCCACAGTACTAAGGTGTGCAACAGAAGACTAGAAAAACACTCCTTGAACCTGCAGAAGGTGTATCTGTTGACATGCTGGGTCCTTCTTTGGGTGCAATCTCTTACTCATTTCAAGGGGTCCCACTGAAAACAGCTGAACTATGACTTGTACGACAACCTGAGTGCTCCCTCTCCAAATGTGCTCTTCTCACTTCCCTGGAACCTGAGAAATTTGCCATAAAATCCTTGTCAATATGACCTTCTAACGCATGTCAGTTTCACTGCTGAGGCCTTTCTC